GGCCGCCAAGCGGCTGGGAGAGCCGGGGTCCGCGGCAGGCTCGCCCGTGCGTGGCCTGCGGGCCGGCGGCGGCGAGGGCGGTGACGGGGCGGCGCCGGGGTCGCCAGGTTGGCAGCTTGCGGGCCGCCGATGGGAGAAAGTCGGGGCCGTCCGCGGGATGGAGCAGCTTGGTGCAGCCCCATGATTACTGGCCCTCCGTATCTGCATCTCGAGGCAGGGCCTGGGCATTTGTGGCAGGGGCAGGTGGCTGGCGGTGTCGCCGAGCTGGCAGGATATAGCTTGCACGGGGATGGGTGACTGGGTCTGGGGTCTAGTGACTGTGTATGGGTGTCATCAGTATGCTGGTTTGACTGCCTGGGACGCCACCTGCATGGCGTCAGGGGGGAGGGTCACTGAGTGCATAGTGTCAGGTTTGACTGCATCAAAACAGCATGACGCGCTTCAACACATCCATCGATCTGCAAATGGCATGCTTGCTGGTGGGTGCCCACCATTCACGCATTCTTGCATCGGGTTGGCGTTTGACAGCATCTTACGGCATCTCAAGTTTCAACACTCGCTCTCTGGGTAAGTCAAAACCTGCACATACCTATGTATTGGATACTCCTGGGTTCATGGGATAGCTGATCAAAATATTATACGGGCTGATGCAAGCTAGGCTGCTCATCCAAAGGCAGACAACCCTCACTGGGCGTGGCATATAAGAGATTCGCAGGGAACGCGGGGTGCGGGCCTGGTGCATGGGCCTCCACGCGCCTGGTTGTTCTCGGGACCTTGGAGGCTGGTGTACAGCGCAGCCACAGGGGGAACTGTAGTGCCTTCTGCATGTTTTTGCCAGAACTTCTTTCTGAGCACCAGCTGACCTGTGCTCTGCATACTGTCGCTCCAGGCGGAAGGGTATGCAGCACCCCATCCTTGCCGGCCGCCGATCCCACATTGTGCGTCGACTGGTCACCTCTAGTCAAGAGGAAGGCGGGGACGGCTCATGATTGCTGTGCTTGAATGATGCTTGAGACTCACCACCGGCAATCAGCATCGCACCCATGCCCAACACCCGGGCGGCATGCCGCCGTCAGCTTTCATCGGCATGTCGTCGTGGGGTGCCACAGGTGCAGCGCATCTGCACACTGGCTACCCTGATCGCAGGGCGCTTCCTTTCGAGCGCTGCTCCGATCGCATAACCTTTGACGTTTGAAGAGCTTCATTCACGCCTCTTTTCCAGGTGCGCCGCGGCTTCGTCCCACCGATCTGCAATTTTCGGGGCCTGATCTGGCGCGAGCGCAGAGATATCAATGTAATATCTGCATATGAAAGTCTTTGTGGCCCCGCGCTTGCAGCTTGCAGCCTCAGCTGGCTTTGCGTCCTGCTTACCATCCGCTCCCTCTCTCGCTCGCTTTTCGCGCGCAGGTGGGGGTGCGGGGAAGTTGCAGGGTGAATGATTGCGATCGGCTGGCGTACGCGTGATCCCGCGTTGTCGGATAGGCAGTGTCCAGTCACGATCAAGCAACCGCGTGCTTGAGCAAACGTCCGCAGTGCCGGTAACACAGCCGCGATAAGTAATTCTCATGCTGCACAGACATCAGCGGTGTAGGCAGCGCTGAGGCTGTGCGCAAGGCGCAGACGCGGTGCACACGTTGCGTGCCGTTGTGTACCCCCAGTTCATCTGGCCATGCGCCTCCGCCGACCATTGCCCTGGCGCCAAAGAGACCCAGGCCTCTCCCCATCAACCACCCCCCATCCTGCTGCAGCAAGGCGCCTCATCACCAACCCCAGCTG